GACAGGAGGAACGAGGGGTGACAGCCTGGAACCACGAGCTAGAGGCTCAGGTCTCTGAATCCAGGTGGAAAGCGCCTAAGCCCCCAGGCACCCCAAGCGGTGGAGCCCCCAGTTGCTAGCAGGAAGCGGAGACCCCGCCCCGTAGCTGGGTCCCGTATCCAAGCCCGGCGGGCAGGATTTGCCTGGGAACCCACTTCAAAGGGTCCCAGGAAGTTTGAACAAGCCCCAGAGGAGGCGGCACAGCCTCTAACCCAGCTCCGGGGGTGGGGGAAGCCCCGCAATTATGGGGAGACTTCCTCCCACGCCCCTCCCTCTAAATGCTAACCCACTTTTAAGCATCTCCTCTCGACCTCCATCTGCTTCATTGGAGGCAGGAACTCTGCAAAACTTCCACTGTGGCAAGTTCACCCAGAAATCTGAAAAGCTGAATATGGGGTCTGGCTCTGGGGCTGCGCTGGGGGAAGGCGTTCTTTTGAAAAAGCTGGGGCCCTGGTACCCGCATTTGTGTGTAAGGCACCACCGGTGGCTGAGAGCTTATGGTGTGCCAGGCTCCACTGGGCATGGCAAGATGGAATAAAACGGCCTCCATCCCTCAAAGAGCTCCCTGCCTAAAGGGGAGGGGTGGGGAGGAAGTAATTATAACACAGTGTGAGATCTGAAGTTTGTTCCAGGATGAAATGATTTATTTGGCCTGGGGGAGCCCAGCCGGCTTTTCAGCAGTCACTTTTCCACCGTGAAGGTAACAATAGCCAAGATTTAACGCACACTCACTGTGCCAGACACCGTGCTAAGGGCTGTACGGGTATAATCTCATTTAATCCCTGCAGCAGCCTGGAGATGGAAACCATTATTATCATGCCCATTTTACAGATGATGCAGCCGAGGTGAAAAGGCTCGCCCAGGGCCATACAGTGGGTTAGATGGCAGAGTCCGGGTCTGCACCACCATCCCTTCCTGCGCTCATTCATTTACCCACCACTGCTGTCAAAGAGGCACTCCGTGTACCCACGAGGGTGCTCCCAGGTTGATGGAATCCAGGTGTAAATTCACACTGGACAGAGGCACACAGGCCTGAAAACAGTGGGTTCACAGCAGGCCTGGCCCTGGGCGAGCCACACTGCGCTTCTTTGCTCTCCTCTGCCGTGTTCAAGCAGAGACCATAACTTTAGGCAGGTTGGCTTTCCTCTCTTGGGCCTCACTTTATTACTCTGCAAAAATGGGACAACTGGGCCTCCATGGTGGCACAATGGGTTAAGCACGGCCCTGTGAAGCTATCTGCAGCCATTGCAGCAAGAGTTGGATCCCTGGCCAGGGAGCTACCACATGGCACAGCAGACCTCTCCTATCTTGCCTGCTGCTCCCCTCAGCAGTGTATTTCGGTAGATCTGCCAGTTCTGTTCCCCGCTCTGTCTCTGATGAATCCTCTCACACACCCCCAACCCCTCTGGCCTGTACCCCCGTTCTTGTATGCATAAATAAATAAAACTTGGGCCTCCCCTGGTGGCGCAGGGGTTGAGCACTGGGCTGCCAAGCTGCGCGCAGCCTCAGCAGCGCCGGTTCCATCCCCGGCCGCAGGGTGAGGGTCCTACATGGCGCGAACACCTCTCCTGCCGCTCGCTGCTCCCCTCAGCAGTGTACTTCATCAGTCTGCCTGCTCTGCTCTCCTCTCTGGCTCTAGTGAATTCTCTCACCCTCCCACGCTTCTGACTGTACCCAGTGCTTGCATGAATAAATAAATAAATCTTTTTAAAAAATAAATAAATAAAACTTTTTTAAAAGGAGGGGTACGATTATTTTCCAGGGCTGCCTGGAGAGTAAATAGGCTCACAGAGGTGCAGTATAGAGGCCTTCAGGACTTGGGACTTGAGGGCGTGGAGGAGCTGACAACGACTGTCCCGTGTGAGCACACACTGAGGACTCTGGTGTGCAGGCTGTGGCTCTCGTCAGGCAGGATGCAAAAGGGACAATTTCACACTCTGCCTAGGGTCTATCTGGAGATGGCTCAGAGGCTCTGAAAGACAAGGAAGAGTTCAGCAGGCTGAGGCTGGGGTGACAGGGCGGAGAGGGCCTGACCCCTAGGGTCTTGTCACTAGATCACCCTGAACTCCAGCATTGAAGGGGCATGTGATTCCAGACCAGGGGCGGCTCCCGGAGTTCAGTGGAATTCAGTGCCTCGAGAGGCAGGTGACAGAGAAGGGGTACCTATGAGGGTGTGTGCTGGTATCGAATGCCAGCTCCAACAAGTAAGTCTGCTCCTGTGCAAAGTAAGGTGACGGTGCCCACCTTGTGGAGGTGTCATGAGAACTAAGAGGCCAGTGTAGGTGAAGTGCCTGGAACTGGGCCTGGCACATAGTAAGCACATTGAAGTGTTGGCTCCAGGCCTTTCTCAGGTGCTCTGGCAGGCCCCAGCAGCAGGCACAGAGCACAGGTTTGGGTGTGTGTGTGGGGGCGGGGGGGGGCGGGTGGCAGTGGGATGCTGCTTCAACATTTACCTTAAGTGTCTGCTTGCCCCCCGCCAAGTCCAAGCAAAGGTGGGTACCTGAGCAGGTTGTTTGAGGGGGGCTGGAGCTTAGCAGGTGAGGCCGAGGCACCCGCACACAAACACACTCAGGCTCCACCTGCCTGTACCAGGAGCCTCCTCGCTGCAGTGGCACTCAGGCCCCGAGGGCTCTTTGGGGCCTTTATGGGGTAATTCCATCTCCATTAGGGCTTATTATGTCACTATAAATACCACCTTTCCTTGCCGCTTTATAAGTCTCACCGAAGAACTTTCCTCAGCATCCAGTCACCGGGAGCAGGAAGGACTTCGGGTTGGGACAGGAAGAAAGGGAAGGGCGTGTTACCAGCTGAGTGACTAAAGAGCAGAAAGCTGCCCCCACCCCACCCTCTGCTGCCACCTTACACACCACCCCTTCCCATAGGCCTCTGCTCACGTCACGTCACGGCATCCAGGTCTGTGCCCTGGGCCCCTAGCCAGGGTCTGTGTGCACCTGGGCTTGTGGGTCCAGCCACTCACAGACCCAACCGAACTCCCAGCCTCACAAAAGGCACAGAGACTTCACACAGCACAAAACCAGCCAGCACCTCGCTCACAAGTTCAATCACCCCCAAAGGTGGCAGAACACCTACTGTGTGTCACCATTGTGCTCCCTGCAGACAGAAAGCCTACAAGCATTTCTTCAATGACACACAAATGGCATGTAACACGCGTGTACAGGCAGGGTCTGACTGACAATACACACAGAGTCTTACATGCATCGCAGTGTCCCCGGCCCAGAGTCCATGTCCAATGTGGCGAACAGAACCCTTATCCATGTTGTGTACCCCGCGCCCCCACACACAGTCCCAGCCCACGCAGGCACCTGTGTGCCCCGCACACCCCACCCACCACAGAGGCTGCCGCTCTGGCCAACACTAAGAGCTGAGATCTGACGCGTGCCGTCCAGCCACGGCCCATGCGGGTGACCGCAGGGCCTTACTTGATCCCTGAGATAACCCTCTGAGGCCGGTGTGTGCAGCTTCCAGATGAGTAAACTGATGCTCACAGTCAAATAGAATGACTTTTCCCAAAATTCGCAGGCTGACTCCGCGGTCTGTGCTCCAGGTACGGCACGCTCGCACACGGGCTCAGACACCAACTCGCATCCACACACACAGCCCCAACACGTCCACACACTCATTCTCACGGACACTTGCACACTCACACCCTCTCAGAAGACCCAGGGCTCCCCTCCCAGCATCTTGGTCAAAGGCTTTAATTATACTCTCTCCACACCTGTAATTAGCCCCCCTCCAAGGGACTGGATTCCCAAGGGCAGGCGCCAAGGCTGAGAGGCAAGACGTCCACATCTCCAGGGAGAACCCCGGTACTGAGCGGCCCAGCACGGCCATTAGGGGAATAGGTCCACGGGGTAGAGGAGAGAGGAGGTGGGCACGGGAGGCTAATGCCTGCTGGGAAATCTGGGCTGCTCCAGCTGCTCCTCCTGGACTGGCCAAATGGTGATTGGGCAACAGGCAGCCGTGGGTGGCCAGGGCAGGCAGGCAAGAGGCTATTTCCCGTTTGTTTCACTAACACCAGCGGCTTCCGTCAGGAGGGGAGATGAGCTCACGTCCGGGGAACCCTTGAGAAGTCCCTTGAGGGGGGCAGGTGGGATGCAAGTATCTTCCAAAGTGTCAAGACACACCAACTGACTGGGCCATGCCCGGCGGGGCAGAGGGGTGCTCCTTGGCCACCCTTCCCCCGCAGGGAGCGGTGGTTGAAGCAGAGACTACCCAGCTTCAAATCCTGGCTCTCCTTCCTCCAAGCTTTGAGCAGGCTGTTTAATTGCTGGGGCCTCTGTACCCTCTCCTGGAAACAGGGATCAGCCCATCCTCTCAGATGAGGGTTAAAGGAACTCATGGGAGTCCTCCTTAGAGGTGCTGCTGCAGGTCTTGGCGCTCCCCCAGCTCTTGGCAGGGATGCCCTCCTAGACCTCCAGCCTCGGGGCAGCCCCAGGGAAAGGCGCATCTGACTGTTTCAGGTCTGCTGCTAAGAAGGCCGCTGTGATGGGCCGCCCGGCCCATTTCCGCCCGGGCACTCAGACCAGCGGGTACAAAGGGCAAAGGTGAGAGTGGGGATGGCCGGGCGCAGCCATCCCGGGTCTGCGCCAGAATCCCGGCTCGGACATCCCGGGGGGCTAGACCTGTGGGCACCGGCGCCGCGTGGCGTTGAGACTCGGGCGGCGCTGCAGGGAGCGGGGGCGCCCCGCGGACCCCGGGAGGCTGCCCGAGTCCCCTGGGACTTCCCCTTTTCCTTCCAGGGCCTGCCCGGCCCCTTTAAAGGCATTCCTGCGGGCGTGGCCTGGCTGACGTCGGCGCAGGGCATGAATGAACAGGAGCCGGTTCTCACCCAACTTCCATTAAGGACTTGGGGCAGGAGGGAGCCGGCGGCGCGCGGGCAGCGGCGGGAGCCGGGCGTGGGGCGCGCGGGGCCGGGCGCGGAGGACCGGGCGGAGCGCGGCATGGAGCGGGGGGCGCCGGGCGCCTGCCTCGCGCTGCTGTGGGGCTGGGTGCTGGCCGCGGCGGCCGCGCAGGGCAAGGAAGGTGAGTGCGCGCTCGGCGGGCGCCCCGGCCCGAGGCGGCCGGGGGCGGGACCCCTGCGTCCCCGGAGCCCGCGGGTCTCGACGCGCGCAACTTTGGAAACCGACCCGGCGCCTTCCAGCCCCGCGCGCTGGGGCCGGCAGGGCGCGCCGGGGCCCCCGGGAAGAGCCGAGACCCCATCCGGGCGCTTGGGAACTCTGGGCACCGCGGGGCTGCGGCCCGCGAGCTCGGGGCTCCGCGGCCGCCGAGAGGGGACGCGGCGCCGGCCACGCGGTTGTGGACCCGCCGGGGGCTGCAGGATCGAGTCCCGCCGGGGCGTTCGGGGGTCCCTTGGAGACGGGGGTGTCCAGTGGGGATTTTCCGCGAGTTTAGCTTCTTGGTGACGGAATTCACCGGCCCGCTTGCTCCGATTGTGCGGGAAAGGCATTTCAGGGGAGGGGGTTCTTCGATGGAGGGGTGGCCCCCGGGAAGACCTGCTGCCCCCTGAGATTTTCTCCGCGCCCCGGAGGAAAGCGCTGGGGGAGGCTCGGGGCAGCCTGCCCGCACCAGCTTTCCCTCCCTTCCCGAGCCGCGCTCCCAGGTTGGGGGACAAGCTGGCGGCCGCGCGTGAGGACAGGAAGGCCCCGAGTTTAGCGTTCTGAGCAAGGGGTGACTCAGGACAGGGAAATGCGGCAGGTGGGGGCGCGGCCTCCCAAGGTGTGGAGTCGTCACCCCGGGGCCACCGGAGTCCGGGCACCCGGGGGTGGGGGCCTGAATCACACGCCCCCGCGCCGGCGACTCCTGGGAGTCGCTCTGGGCCAGGGGCCCCGAGTTTGCCTTGGGGTGGGCGGGGGTGAGGACGGGGGCTCCAGCCCCTCGCCCAGGCCGGCTCCGGTTTCCAGCAGAGAGAATAAGTTTTCGCTGGCGGGTCAGAGCGATGTTTCCGCAGGCTCCGCCAGGGGAAGTGCAGAGGAAACCCGGCCCGGCGAGAAGTTTCCTTGAGTCTTGCCTCCTTTTTCCACCTCCCAAACGGGGGTTGGAGGTTTTTCTCTTTCAAGCTGGGAGGCCAAGAGGCCGGCGCTGGAGCTTTTGGGAGTGCAAGTGGGGGTGGCATCCTGCTCGGGCCCCGGATCAATCAGATAGGGCCCCGGGGCCCAACTCGCCAGGGCAGTGGGTGGCAGGGATTTGTGCGCCCCTCAGCAACCTCCCCTGCCCAGCTTTCTGTCCTCCCCCTTCCTAGGGGCTGTGTTTGGAGAGCAGGGGAGAGACAGCTGGAATCAGTACAGGCCTTTCTCCAAGGCTGCCCATGGGGGCTGGGGATTAGGCAGGACTGACACTGCTGGGAGGTTGCTTTGCTGCCTGCAAGCCTGGAGCCTCTTGGCGCCCCCATGTTGATCACTCCCAGCTTAGATGCATAGTCCCACCTCCCTCTCCCACCCCCACCGCGGCGCGAGGAAGGATGGGGTGTGTATAGGAGAGTCCTGGGATGGGGGAACATTTTCGCTTAGGCTGTAAGAGTCCCTGGAAGTGACTCTCTGGGGAGGGGGGTGCCTGTGGGGCCGGGAGGTGATGGCCCAGCTGGCAGCTGCTGGTTTGTTATGTTCTTCAGGATTCAGGCTGGATGTGGTGGAACCTCCTGGGGGGGAGGAGATGAGCAGAGAGGACACGGTGCCCCTTCCACCCTGAGCCCAGGCTGCTGTCCCCTCTCTGTGGAGCCTGCGGGCTTCTCAGCAGCTACTGAATCTGCCCCTTTACAAACCTGGAAAACCAGGGAGGCGCAAGACCTCACCAGCCAGGGCCCTTTGCATAGCGCAGGTCAGATCTGAGCATCTGGCTTCTTGGCTGCTGGGGCCCAGGCCCTGCACTGTGGTTTCATGGTGGATTTTCCTGAGCAGAGAGAATAGCTGGGCAGGGGTGCAGGGGGACAGGGGCTGCCGGCCCGAGTTGGCTGACTGCGCTCAGGGCGCCTGTAAAGTCCCCAGCTTGATTCTCATTTGCCCTCCGTTCCCTTCCCCTTGTCCATCATTTCACTCCCAGAGTCCCCTGCTGCCCCTGCCTGGAGGAATAGCTTAGTGCTGGTTACAGAGGGATGGGGGAGCTGGGAGGTGTCTAGGGGAGCAGTACTGCATTTCCAGAGGGCGGGCGAGGGTGCCGTTTCCAGTGGGACTTCAGGCAGAGAAGACTTTCCTGGGGCTGGGGGAGGGTCACAGGCCCCTGATGAGCCCTGCTCTATCAGGCCCCTCAGTGAAACCTCAGGGGGCAGCTGAGGGACTCCCAGGCCCCAACCCCTTCCCGGGAAACAAGAGCCTGAGTCCCTGGAAGGGCTGAGGGAAAGAACCGCACCCCACTCCCAGGCGGGGCAGAGGGCCTGGCTGGGCTCCTGTTCCTGGTGATCGGTTCTAGGGAATTTCCCTGGGAGGGGGCTGTGGCTGGAAGCCCCTGGGGGAGCCTCCTTCCTGTGCGAAGGCTTCTTTTCTTCTCAGATTGAGCCTGTTGATACTTCTAGCCGGGGCTTGGGGCTGGAAAGGGAGTGTGCTCTGGTAGAGGGGGGTGGGGGACCCTCCCTGCCAGGTTAACCCCTCAGAGCCTGGGAGCCAGGAGCCCCACCCTCAGAGGGCTTGGGTGGCCTTTCCTGCTGCCCCCCCCCCAGGAATGTGTGTGCAGAACTTTGAGGACCACTCCCCATTGACCTCCTACCCACTCAGCTGCAGTCAAGAACCCCTAGGTTCCTTCCTGTGGAGCTGGAACGTTCCATAGGCTAGCAGGGTTAGTGAATTTTCCAAGCCTGGGCCCTGGGCATGCCCCAACAAGTCCCTGCGCCCGCCCCTACCCACTCCCACGGCTGCCCTCCCCTCTCCCCCAAACTTGGGGCCCTTGCCACATCGGATTTCCTCCTCCCTGTCTGGCCCAGCGGACCCTTCCTAGAGAGAGATCTGGCACAGGGCAGGGTCAGGTGGCTGCCTCACACCCAGCCCCACGCAGGACGTTCTAACCTCCGGAAAGCGACTCCTCTCCACTCCTCACTCCTCTCGGCCCCTGGGCCTGCCCCCACCTCTAAATCAAACGCATCTCTGCTCCCTGCCTGCCCAGAGTTCATCCACCCATAGATCCTTCTTCCAGGGCCTGGTCCCGAGGAATGCTGTACCTCCGGGAGGAGGCCCCAGAGTTCAAAGGAAGCAAGTACTTGGTCTTGCTCTTTCTGCCTTAGGACTTTACCCTGTGAATCCAGGGAGACATCCAGAGGTACCATGCCTCAGTTTCCCCAGCCTGTTTCCCCTCCCTAGGAATGGTGGCACCTCTTGGCAGCTACCTGAGCTTTGGAAATGGAGGAGGGGCGGTACCAGGGTCTTGGGTCTCAACTGCAGCCGCTGAGCCCGCCAGGGAGCCAGGGGCCGGCAGTGGGAAGTACCAACAGCCAGGCTAGATGTTAGGGAAGCCCCTGGCAGGGAAGCTCCTGGATCTTCCCCCCAGGCTCAGATGCCCTCTCCAAAGTATGGTTCTGGCACTGGTCCCTCTGAGCCTGGAAAGTCCCCCTCAGGGTTTCCATCCTTGGCACCCCTAGTGGGGCAGTGGCCTTGTGAGTGACTTTCCCAGGGAGGGGACCCGGCCAGCTGTGTGTACCCTTGGGCCCCTCCTAGAGGCCCTTATGGGTTCAGGGCTTTAAGCCTGTGCTGTGGCTTTCATGGTGGGAAGATCAGTTTCCAGACACCCCCTGGGGTAACCCTCTCCCCCTGAAGCTGTTCCCTGTTCCCGTCTGTTCCGAGCTATCTTCTTGGAGTACCCTGAGACACGTGTGTCCATACGTGAGCTGCATGTGTGTGCTGTGTGGTCTGGGCGGGATTGGGGGTGATTGGCACTGGAGGGGTGTAGCAGGAGCAGTCATGAGTGCCCCCAAGGCCCACATGCCAGTGAGCACTGCTGAGGGGCCGGTTCCTGAAAGCAGATGTGCTGGAGTGGTATCACTTAACAGCCCTGTCTGCCCGATCTGTCCAGCTGCCATTGCCCCGCTGGGCTGAGCTGAGCTGCCTTGTTCTGCCCAGCTGGGGGCCACAGGGTGGGTGTGTGTTTGTGACTGGGGCCGGGGCTTGGGAGACTGGGCCCTAGTCCCACTCCAGCCTGCCTCGTGGTCGTGACCATCCTTTCTCTGTGCCTCTGTTTCCCTGTTTGTCAAGGGATGGTCACTCAGATATGGTGACCTGTGATCGTGGGCTCTTTCTCCAAAGGATGGAGAAGCCACCACGGTCTGACTCCTGGATGTACCCCAAGCTCAGTCTCTCCCCATCTTCTGTCTCTTTCAGTTGTGCTGTTGGACTTTGCTGCTGCTAAAGGGGAACTCGGCTGGCTCACGAGCCCGTATGGCAAAGGGGTAAGACTTCAGGGTCGGGGGGACAGGAGGATGGGGCCCGGCCTGGATCAAACAGCTCAGTCAGGGTTCAGACTCTGGGGCCAGCTTCTCAGGTGCAGAGTCACCGTCCGAGGCTGGCGAGGCCTAGAAGGTAGGAAACGTCCTAAGAGGAGGAAAGAGTTGAACCCCTTGGTTCCCTCCATCCACCTCTTGGAAGGACAGGGGTGAACTTTGAGGCCTTCAGCCCAGGAAGTAGTGGGGCATTTGGGGGGCCTGGGGGAAGAGAAGAACAGTAGTTCCCAGGGCCCTACGACCCTGGGAACTAAATCAAGTTTCTTCCTGCTGGACCCCTCTCCTGCTCCTGCAGCTGTTGCTTCCCCTTCCTGCTGGAAGCTGACTTTGGCCTCCTCCCCACCCGTTTCCTCCGCTCTGCTGTGCCCTCTGTGACCTGGACTGGTGGCACAGCACTGGGGTCCTTTCCCCAATTGTGTATAACTTTCATGTGGTCTTGGGGAAAATATTGCTGCACTCTGGGCCTCAGTTTCCCCCTTTGTACAATGGACCCTTGCAGAGTTTGTTCAGGGGCCTTGAACTGATGACAGGGATGTCTCCAGGGTGCTGCTCGGGCCAGGTGTGTGTGTCAGGTGTCTATTCCTGGTCATCTTAGCCCCCAGGAGGCCTGGGGGGTAGCTGTGAGCGGATTTCCAGGATCCTGGAATGTCCAGCTGGGATGGGAATGGGGTGGGGGGGTGGGGAACACAGGTCATCTGAGGCCCAACCCAGTCATCTGAGGCCCAAGGGCATTTGAGGCATTAGCCTGTGTCACACAGTGCAATTCAGGTCTCTTTCCTTGGCCCCTCTGCTTTCATCTATTCATTCAACAAATCCTTTCCTGAGCACCTGCTCCATTCAGGTAGGCCCTAGGGTTACAGAAATGAATTAGATACAGTCCTTGCCCAGAGGAGCTCAGAATCTAGTGTGGAAACTAGATGTAGGTGTTTCCACACAGGTACTGTGATACAGGGGACTTGAACACGATGGGAGCCAGTGAGGGACACTTGACCCAATCTTTGTCCAAACTAGGGAGTCTTCCTGGAGGAGGCTGAGCTGTGTTTTCAGGTGGCAGGAATGCATATTTATCTGTTTCAACGATAAGATCTAAATGATGAGGGAACCTCCATTGTTTCTGACTTAATCCTTTGCCCTGCCACTACCTCGCGTCTTCACACATACACATACCGTGAAGAATAACAGTAACAATAACAATGGTGATGTTATCAGCGGCCTTGTGTGCCACGCGATGTGCTCAGAGTTTTGTAGACATTCTGTCATTTATACTCCTCATAGCAATTCTCTGAGGTAGCCGTTACCCCATGTACAGGTGGGGATCTTAAGACTCGGAGAACTTAAATGAGGTCACACAGAAACCCCAGCTCAGTCTCTTATGGAAGTTCAGCACCCCAACATTGGGATCAGACACACTGGGGAGATCCCATCCAGGCTTAGCTCCATCTAGCACATGAAGGTGACTTGAAGCTCTTCCCTGGGCCTCAGTTTCCTTCCCTGTACAATGAGAGTATTAAGCATCTCCCCAGTGCCCAGCTGTGCCTCTGGCTCAGTTTCCCCTTCCCCAGCGCCTCCCACACTAACCTGTCGGCTCTATGCGCAGTGGGACCTGATGCAAAACATCATGGACGACATGCCCATCTACATGTACTCTGTGTGCAACGTGGTGGCTGGTGACCAGGACAACTGGCTCCGCACCAATTGGGTGTACCGTGGCGAGGCCGAGCGCATCTTCATTGAGCTCAAGTTCACCGTGCGTGACTGCAACAGCTTCCCCGGCGGCGCCAGCTCCTGCAAGGAGACCTTCAACCTCTACTATGCCGAGTCCGACGTGGACTATGGCACCAACTTCCAGAAGCGCCATTTCACCAAGATCGACACCATCGCGCCGGACGAGATCACGGTCAGCAGTGACTTCGAGGCGCGCCACGTGAAGCTGAACGTGGAGGAGCGCTCCGTGGGGCCGCTCAGCCGCAAGGGCTTCTACCTGGCCTTCCAGGACATTGGCGCCTGCGTGGCGCTGCTGTCCGTCCGCGTCTACTACAAGAAGTGCCCCGAGCTGCTGCAGGGTCTGGCCCGCTTCCCCGAGACCATCGCGGGCTCCGATGCGCCCTCCTTGGCCACTGTGGCTGGCACCTGCGTGGACCATGCGGTGGTGCCCCCTGGGGGTGAAGAGCCCCGCATGCACTGCGCAGTGGACGGCGAGTGGCTGGTGCGCATTGGTCAGTGTCTGTGCCAGGAAGGCTACGAGAAGGTGGAGGATGCCTGCCAGGGTGAGTGACCGTGGTGGGCGACCAAAAGTGGGGGTACTGGGATGGGAGGCCGCCTCCGGGTTCTAGTCTGGGCTCTGGAACTCTGGGATCCTGGCAAGGTCAGCTCTGCTCCTATACGCAGTCATTCTGTTATGACTTAGGGCCTTCCTGGGCTCAGGAATCACTGGATTCCATGACTTAGGGCCTTCCTGGGCTCAGGAATCACTGGATTCCACTGCGAAAGAATATATTGGATTGTCGAAAAAGTCTTGATGTCATTTTTTCTATGTTTTCAAGCAAAAAGGTGTCACGACTTTGCCGACAACCCAAACGTAGGAATACTACAAGGGAGGCCTCCAGGACAAGAGGGCCTGGGTTCAGCCCACCTCTACATTTAGCTGTGTGACTTTCAGCCAGTTCCTTGACCTCTCTGGGTCTGCATTTCCTCATCTATAAAATGAAGGCAAACATAGTGCCATCTTGTAGGCTTGTTGTGATAATCAGATGACTTAATACTCATAAAGTGCTTAGGTCAGTGCCTGACACATACTGCTTTTAAGTGTGGTTGTTATTTTTGATTCATCCCACCAGTGTATCTTGAGTCTCCACTTTATCCCAGCACCGTGGACCCACGGCCGGGCGGTAGTTTCATTCCTCTTAACTCACTGTGTGACCGTTGGCAAGTGACGTCACTTCTCTGGTTATGTGGCTCCTCTTCTGCACCCAGGATGAGGGAATTGGTCAAGGATTCCCTCCCTGGCTGCCCATCAGACTCACTGGGGGAACTTTTGAAAAGTATTGACATTGAGGGAAAAGGTGGAAGGGAGGGGCAGGCTCTACTTTACCAGAGCCTCAGACCCATCAGTGGGAGACGCACCGATGCAAGGCCAGATTGAGGGTCACTTAAATCAGGCTGTCTGGGAATGGGGCCTGGGCACTAATGAACGTACATTGGGTGGCTCAGCTTAACAGGGCCTGTGACAGCGGAAATCTCTACAACTTGGGCTTTTTTTCAATGGTTGAATTTTCTGGAAAAGGCTGTGGGCATTTGTGGAATGCAGGCCGACCTTTGGAAGGCCAGCTCATCCCCTCTCTCTGGGAGTTTCTCTGCTGAGATAAGTGGGACGTTGAGAAATTGGGACTTCGGTCCCTGCCATTGTACATGACTCCTGTGTGATCACAGGTAGATGTTTCCCATCTCTGGCTTCAGGCTTCCTATCAGTACAAGTTCAACTATACCAGCAGACTTTATTCATGGTGTTTTGCCATGAATCCTGCACGCCATGAAGGAGGCTGAGGTGTTGGGGGAGTCTGATGGACACTACTGACCTCTCAAAACAAGTCCTCAGAGCCTTGCTTGACACAGTCTGCAGACCCCTGAATGAAAACTTCCCTAAGGCCCTTTCTGGCCATAAACCTGTAGATGGTTTTTGCTCTGAGTTTTCCCGTCATCACCTTTCCTCTCAGCTCTTCTCTGCTGAGTGAGCCCCCTTTTCCAGGCGGCCCCTGCTTTAGGTCACCCCAAGTGCACACTCCCAGGTTCAGACAATGACTGCAGGGTGGGAGGGGGCCCAAACAGCCCAGTAGGTCCGGCAGCTCCTCCCACATGACATCCTCGCAGAAGAATGCGGGGGTGGGGGTGAGGGGCAGCTGAAAACTTTCCACAGGCTGGTGATTCAGACCCTGCAGAGATAAGTGGATGGTTGGGGTTGGGGGGTGTCCCTCCAGGAAGGGGGGTAGCCTTCACCTCCTCTCGGAGGTCAGGGTTCTGGCAGCTTTGTGAAGAACTAGCAGACCAGTAGGGAGGACTGGCTTCGCCAGTGGGACCCTCTCAATTGCCAGCCTCCTGTGCCCTGGTTTTCCTTCCTTGGGCACCCCTGGTCCCCCCACCGGCTCCAGTTCCCTCCAGTGTGGCTTAAGGGTCCTCTGAATGACTGGGAGCACCCAGCCTGGCCACTTTTTATTCTAATACTCTCCTCCCAGCAGCCCCTGACCGCGATGTCAATGGCGAAAATGCCGGTGTCCAGTAGAGAGGCCTCTCCAAGGACAGGGGTACCCTTGCTGGACCCACACCTGTGATCAGTCCCACTTTGCCAACAGGGTCCTGAGTCTTAGGAATGCCCAGAGACTTGCCTGGAGTCACTCAGCTAAGATGTGGCCGCTTCGGGATTTGAATCCACTTTGGGATTTGAATCTGGTGATGCTGTGGTGTGGGGGCCAGAGGAAGTGTCAGGAAATGGGGCGGGAAGTGACCAGTTCCTTTGGAATCCCTGACTCAGCTCCTGGCCCTGGGACAGGCTCTCTGGGCAGCCCTGGGGTGGCAGGTCCTGGTGCAGGAGGTGGGGGGGGGGGTGGTCATTACCAAGTGCATTGAGGGGGCATGGAGGGAGGCCTAGGGTCTGCACGCCTGCCTGACCCTCCACGGGACCCTTCCCCGGGGCGTCCATTGATGAACACCGAGGGGGCGTTGGTACCCCAAGGTCGTCCAGTACCTGATCCAGGTTATCCTTAGAGTTCATTTCACCTTGGGCTCTTTCCCTGGGAAGCCTGATGCCAGGAAAGAGTTAAATGGCGGCAGAAAAGAGGCACCTCTCAGGTGCTGTGTTCGGACAGGTGGGCACACTGCCCAGGTGAGCTCTCATGAGCTATGTCAGGAATGAGCCAGCTTCACTCCAGCCCTCCCTCCTGCCCCACCCTCCCACCCCCAGCTCTGCCAGGGGACAGCGGAGTCACTCAGGCCAACCATCATCTCCCCCAGGGTGGCTTTGTCTCCCTGCTCCTCTCCGCTTCCTGTGCTGGCATCAGCAGCTGAGCTGGCGGGGCCCAGTTGGCGCCTGGACCACAGGGATTGCCGGCCAGGTGAGCAGGTGGCCAGCGTCTTTGGTCTGAGGCTCAGCCTAGCAGCTGGGAGGCCGGAGCTGGAGGTGGGGGCGGTGGGGCGTCAGGAATTCTCCCCTTGGAGCCTCACCGCCCTCTGGGCCCAGCACCCCCATGAATGGCTCCTCTCCACTCTGGTTTCTCTGGGGATGCTCCGTTCTTGGCACCTGCTGAGCATTTATTTTATTTTATTAAGATTTATTTATTTATGCATACAAGAACTGGAGTGCAGACCAGAGGTGCAGGGGGGTGAGAGGATTCACCAGAGACAGAGTGGGGAGCAGAACAGGCAGATCTACTAAAACACACTGATGAGGAAAGCAGCGGGCGAGACAGGAGAGGTCCACTGCACCATATGGGTCAGCTCCCAGGCAGGCTGGGGACTCGAACTCATGCAGCTGTGGCTGGCAACAGCTTGACAGCGCTGCGCCACCAGGGAGGCCCAAGCATTTATTTTATAAGAAGCTCCACTTCAGTCTTCACAGACACCCAGGGAGGCTAAGGACTGTCCATTTTACAGATGAGGAAACGGAGGCCTGGAGAGAACAAACCGTGACCAGTGACCAGTGAAGCTGGGGCCTGGCACAGGGTTGGCATGTACCCTCCTGCTCCTGCCACGTGTCCTTCCACTGATAAGCTGAATGAACCTCAAGACCCCGCTCCGGGCCTCGTTTCTTCTACCTTTAAAATGAGCAGGCTGGACTCTCGCTGACCTAGTGGCCCAGGTTTACCTGCGGAGACTTTCTGCTGTGACTTAGTCAGAGAACATGGATTGTTCTGGCAAACTGTTGACCCAGTGGCCTCTCCCTGTGTGACAAGGCCCGGCTCTAGCCAAGGGGCCATAGCTGAAGGGGTGGGCAGCCCTGGGCAGGGGGTGGCTCTGTTTGGGATAGCCCTGGGTCCTGGCTGGACTATTGAGGAGCCCCGCTTTGTCTGGGTACAGCCCATCCCTGGGCTGGGGGCTCTGGGAGCTGTTGGCTGTGACCTTCAGGCTTGTCCCCTCTGGGGACTGCGGCGTTTCCTGGGGCCGGCAGGGGAGGGGCTGTGGGTAGCAGCACCCCTCCCACCCCTCCCAGCCAGTCCTACCCTTAGCTCACACTGGGGGCCCTGGCAGCCCTTCCTCCCACCCCGTCTCCCTCCCAGGAGGTGAGTGTGTCCCAAGAACGGAAGGAAGGAGAGCAAACAGAAGATAAAAGGCTGGTAGGGAGAGAGAGCGGATGGCGGGGAGACCAGGCAGGGAGGCAGCGGCAGGGAGGCGGGAGCCTGGGGTGGGGGGAACTGTGCTTATCTTGGGCTTGGTGGAGGAATGTGCCCCAAGATAATTCCCCAGGGTGTGTGTGAAAGGGGCAAGGTGCTGGCTGCCTTTGGGCCCTAGGGACACCTCTGCGGCTGAGGGAGGACAGTGCCTACTGGGGAGCCAGAAGCTTCTGGGGCCTGGAGTTATCAGTTCCCTTCATTTGCTGGGTCAATAACTTCCAGGTTGGTGTTTGCTGCCTGTTAGGGTGAGAGACAAAGTCCAGGTCCCGTCCTTGTCCTTGGGCTGAGGGAGCGCGTGGTCTCCAGCCCGGCGGACTTGGGAGGTTGTGGCCTTAGGTGAATTGCCACCTCGACCTCTTGACCAGATGACCTCGCCACCACAGGCCTGGGAGGTGGCTGGGCCTGGGGAGGGGCTCGGCCGGGGGTTGGATTTGGGCCATGCCAGCGGGCGTCTGTCCCTGAGTCACCCCACGCTGCCACCTTAGGGGCGGGCTTCAGGAACTGGAAAAACCGGGGTACAGCCCCGGGTGCAGCCACCGTGCCCCAGTTCCCCTGCTTAGAGTGGGCTGGGCCTGCCCGGCAACCGGGGCCAAAGTTCTCCACATTTGTGCCAAAGTCAAGCTCCTGTGCCAGGCAGGTGGGGGCATCCAGGTCACAGGGTCTCCCCGGGCACTGAAACCACGCTCAGCTCTGGGGCACGTGGGTCACGAGCCATTCCCTGACTCATTCACTCACTCATTCATTCACTCCTCCATCGTTCAACAGCAGCTACGACCTATGACATGCGAAGCTCTGCTGGGCCGGGGGACACAGATAAATCACACGCACTCCTGCTGCCCAGGAGCTGCCAGCCTAGTAGAGGATCCTCTCAGGTGCAGAAATAATTTCAAATGGAGCAGGAAAGCCAGGCTCTGAACTCCCCTGGAGCAGAAAGGGTGTTTATCTAACTCACCATCGGATCTCAGGGCCCAGCATTGTGCCAGACACGTAGGAAGTGCTCGATTAATGTTTGGTAAACAGAAGATTGAGTAATAGATGCCCTAATGGGACACCAGGGGTCATCAGCTGGGCAGTCTTGGAGGACTGCATAGAGGAGCTCTAGCTGGGTGTTGAAGGGTGCATAGGAGTTAGCTGGCTGAGGGACAGTGGGGTATTGTGTGTGTGTGTGGGGGGGGGTGTTGAGTGTGTGTGGGGCCCTGGTATGTGAGCCCTGTCCCCTCTTACCTGCCCCAAATGCCAGGAAATCCAGCCAGACAGAGCCAGGGAAACAGGGGCTTGTTGGTGTCTGCTCTCAAGCTCTGGGACCCCCAGACACACTGGCGGGGGTACCCCTTGGGCTCTGTGTTGGAGGAGGGGGCAGCACATTCCCGTCAGGCAAGCACATGCCCTGTTGATGCAGCCGCCCCAATGTATTATCTGGCACGTCCGCAGCGGAAATCTCTCCAAATTCCCTCTTTCCTGCCGGCAGCAGGCGGGCCACCCCCGGGCTCTGGGGCCAAAGAATGGAACCCGGCTCTTCCCCCACTTCCTCCTCTTGGCACAGGGCTGGGGGGCTCTGGAGTCCCACGGGGCGGGGCCTCGTGGGGGATTGCAGGTGACTACACTTGTGTCCCCTCCAGCCTGAGAACCTGGGCTGGGAAGGTGCATTGTGGTTCAGGGTCCCCTGAGCACCCCAACTCCATGGGCCTGGGACCACCTGGAGCCAGCACTTACCCAGGGCGTAGGCCCCTGGCAGACAAGTCAGGACATTTGGAGGCATTGAAATCCCAGGATAAACACGGCCCCGCTTTCTGGAGGCTCATTTTTACTGGACAATTTGGGGGCGGAGAGAGCTATTTTTGTTTTGAAACAGCGCTGTTTGGGAGAAGAAGGCAAAATACACATCTATTTCTTAATGTAATAGACATGAAAGACCTTAGGGGCTGAGGGGGGCCACTTTGGGGGCGCTACCCCCTCTGGTCCCCTTAGCACCTCGGTGTGGTTCCGCTCCTTTCTCCCCATAGAGCACACATGTACCCAGTTTGCGAAGCCTGTGTTGGGGGTGCCACACACAGATCCCAGGGGCCCTGAAATTAGTCTTGGGGTTCTCTGGCTGTTGATGTAGGCAGGGCACCATCTCTTCTCTCTTGGGGTTTGTTTCAGAATGTTGCTCTTCGCTTGGCTCCAAAGTGGGGAGTTCATGGAAAGGGAGAGCGGCATGAAGTCAGGGCACCCCGGGTCAGGAGGAGCTTGGAGGGAGACCTTGGACAAGTGGTTTTCCCCTCTCGCCACTGTCTTCTCACCCCCAAAATGGAATGAACGATGGCATTGCCCAAGCATGACGGGCTTGCTGTGGGGCTAAGTGAATGTCAAGGGCTTGGCCCGGGAGCTTCACGTGGCCACAGCCTACCGGGTGGTCAGCGTTTGCAAGAGGGCTGCCGGCTCTGCAGAGCGGGAGGGCACACTCCCCTTCTCTGCCCCCAATGCCCGGCGCTGTCAGGGCTGGGCTGAGGTTCTGGTGTGTCTGGCATGGCAGCGTGGAACAGGGCCCATGAGGGCTCGAGAGACGGCGCTGTTGTGGCTGCTGGACCCCGGCAGGGCGAGGGCTGGGCTCCTGATGGCAGCAAAAGGCGGAGAGGCAGGCTGGCCCTGCATTCGGAGTCACTGACAGGAAGTCACCGTCCAAGACCTGAAGGAACTGGGAGTCCTTTGAATCCTGTCCTCTGACTCCCAGCTGCCCTGTGCACACAGGGGACTGGGCACTGAGGGAGACTGTCCAAGCACTTTTTTTGAGTGTCTTTATTCCTGACATCAGACCTGACTCTGTAGCCCTCAGGACAAGGCCCTGGCTCCTTGGCCTGGCAGTGAAGGCCTTGCTCTGTCCCCGAAGACCTTGCAGTCTTACTGCTGTCTGCTCCCCCTATTTGTACCATAAAGCCACACACACTCTCTGTGTTAGCCTGGCTCTTTCTCACCCCAGCTCCTCCCAAGGTTCTGTCCTGCTGAACTCCCTCTCAGCCTCTAAGCCCCAACTGCAGTATCCCCTCTGACTCCTCCGGGCCATGTCCAGGGTTCTCTCTCCCCCTTAGCCTCTGGCCCACCTCATTACTGTCGACATTATCACAAGCTCCTGCTCCATGAGTTTAGGGGCTTTGTCTTCCCTCGGGGTCCATGCCTGATGAGGGTTAGTGAGTGACTGATGAACGTGGCACTGAGCTTGGAGGTGGCTCAGGACTCTCTCCACAGAATAAGCTGAAGACTGGGTGGTAACTGTAAGGCTGTGGGAGGGATCCTTAGGGTGACCCCCATCCCACTCTGCCCTGGGCAGCTTACATGGAGGGACCTGTGTCTGGGCAGCTTCCTGCCTGTGGGGCCAGGAAGGGGCTTGGGGCAGGAGGTGAATAGGGTGGTGGGAGGAAGAAGCCTCCGGAGTCAGGTGCCTGAGCCCTTAGCCTGCCTGGCCGGGACAGGACCTGTCACCGGGGAGGAGGAAGAGCCGCTTCCTGACTGCCCTTGTAGTGGCGGAAATGACTTGGTCCAACAAGCAGATCCAGAGAAAAGACTGGGGGCCTGACCTTTCCTGCTTCCTGGTCGGCCAGCCCCGGAATGGGAAGGCTTTCAGGTCCTGGGGTGAGGGGACACCCGCTGGGTGGCATCCTGAGCTGATGGGTCTGGCTGATGGGTCGGGTGGTACTGATAGTCAGTCAACAAACATAATTGGTGAAGAAGTTACAGCCCTCGTGGGGACCTGACAACCTGGTCTGCATGGGTTAAAGGAGACAGTTAGTGGCAGCGGGCTGAGCCAGATGAGCCAGGTGTGAGGTGGACTTCTTAGGAAACTGGAAGGCGACTTGAACGCCATCCCACTCTGCCCTGGGCAGCTTACATGGAGGGACCTGTGTCTGGGCAGCTTCCTGCCTGTGGGGCCAGGAAGGGGCTTGGGGCAGGAGGTGAATAGGGTGGTGGGAGGAAGAAGCCTCCGGAGTCAGGTGCCTTGGAAACTTGAACGCCAGGCTCAGGGGTGTGGAGTTTCTTGGGAAAGCCGGGGGGCAGTGATGCAAGCTTTGGAGGCACTTCCTGGTGCCCGGTGTTGGTGCAAGCTTTGCATTTTCTCATCACGAGATACTTTACTGATGAGAAAAGCAGGGCCATAGAGGTTTAGCCACTTGCCTGGGGTCCCTGTGACGGGCGGAAGTCGCTTGGGCTAGGCCTGGCTGAACTGACGTCTGCCCCTGTTTCCACCAGCTTGCTCGCCTGGATTCTTCAAGTCCGAGGTGTCCGAGAGCCCCTGCTTGGAGTGCCCTGCACACACCCTGCCGTCCTCCGAGGGGGCCACCCACTGCGAGTGCGAGGAAGGCTACTTCCGGGCAGCATCGGACCCACTGTCCACGCCCTGCACCCGTGAGTCTCGCAGGGGATCTGGGAGGCTGTGGTGGGTGGTCAGCAGGTCCAGGGTAATCAGATGCAAGGTCTGCCCTCTGCCCTCTGCACAGGCCCACCCTCTGCCCCGCACTACCTTACGGCCGTGGGCATGGGCGCCAAAGTGGAGCTGCGCTGGACACCCCCCCAGGACAACGGGGGCCGCGAGGACATCACTTACAGCGTCAGCTGTGAACAGTGCTGGCCGGAGTCCGGCGAGTGTGGGCCCTGCGAGGCCAGCGTGCGCTACTCGGAGCCGCCGCACGGGCTCACCCGCACCAGCGTGACCGTCAGCGACCTGGAGCCGCACATGAACTACACCTTTGTCGTGGAGGCCCGCAACGGCGTCTCAGACCTGGTGACCAGCCGCAGCTTCCGCACGGCCAGCGTCAGCATCAACCAGACAGGTGAGGGTCTGAGACCCAGGAGGCAGGTGGAGAGGGGGTGACTGTGCCCTTGGGACCTGCCCAGGTGGGGCTTCTTGAGGATGGCCACTCTGGCTCAGCAGTGTTCAGAGGGAGGCGGCAGCCGGTGGTTTAAAGCAGTCTGGGACCTCTCTGGTTAAGCACTGCACTATGAAGCAATCCTCAGCTTCTGCAGCACGAGTTCAATCCCCGACCTGCCAGGGAGAAACCACATGGTGAGGCAGACCTCTCCTGTCTCACCCGCTGCTCCCCTCAGCAGTGTATTTCAGTCAATCTGCCTGTTCTGCTCCCCACTCTGTCTCTGGTGAATCCTTTCACTCCCCGCATCTCTGGCCTGTACCCCCAGCTCTTGTATGCATAAATAAATCTTAAAAAAATAAAATAAAGCAGTTTCTGGAGTCACTCCCGGCTCCGTGACCTTGGACAAGTTACTCAACCTCTCTGAGCCTCTGTTTCCTCACTTATAAAATGGGGATAATAATAGGGCTATTGAGAGGATTTAATAGAACATTATATATAAGACTCTTAGTGCCAGGGCCATGGGAAGGATATAGCAAGACTCAACTGTTGCTTTATTTTTGTTATTTATGCATAAATACGTGCAGGACCCCTCTGCTGTGTCTGCCATTGCTACAACTGGGAGCTCTGTGCTCCAAAGCTGAAAGTTTAGAATCCGGGGTTAGGATCCAAAAATGTCTGGGCTATGGGTGGACTGGGCCTGGGTGTACTTGATCCCCCAGCCTGAACTTCCAGGCGAGTTCTCATTTCCATCCCCCACCTTCTGCCTGCCCAGAGCCCCCTAAGGTGAGGCTGGATGGCCGCAGCACCAGCTCGCTGAGCGTGTCCTGGAGCATCCCCCAACCACAGCAGAGCCGTGTCTGGAAGTATGAAGTCACCTACCGCAAGAAGGTAACCAAGGGGGTTCCGGGCTGATCCCCTGAGCTGTGAGCAGAGAGCCGGCCAGGCTATGCTCACTACACTGTGCATAGCCATTAGAAGAAGCTCCTCTGCAGATGGGGAAACTGAGGTCTGGGGGCGCGCCTCTCCCAGATCAGCACAGCAGAGACTTGTGAGAGAGAAGGAGCCGTGTTTGGGACTGGGGAACAGGGTCAGGTCTTGGGGATCAGGCAGGCCTGGGTGGCATCCTGCTCAGACATCTGTTGACTGTGACCTTGAGCTTGTCCTCTCCAAGCCTCAGTTTCCTCCTCTATAAGAAGATCACGGAGTTTGCCAACGTAGGTGAGCCACCTGGCTAAGCTGGGCTGGCTCCGCTCTGCTGGACTGAGAGCGCCCAGCCCCGCCTCACTGTCGGTTCCTCCACCTGCAGGGCGACTCCAACAGCTACAATGTGCGCCGGACCGAGGGCTTCTCCGTGACGCTGGACGACCTGGCTCCGGACACCACTTACCTGGTCCAGGTGCAGGCGCTGACGCAGGAGGGCCAAGGTGCTGGCAGCAAGGTGCATGAGTTCCAGACGCTGTGTGAGTTGGGGCTCAGGGCGTGGGCCAGGCCAGGGTCCTCACAGGGAGCAGCTGGGGTCTCCTGGGAGAAGAAATGCCCTGCTCCTGGGCAGCCAGGGCCAGGCAGCCTTCCCCTAAGCTCGGGAAGGGGACAGAATAGAGCGCTGGGGGTGGAGGACCAGGGATGAGCATTCAGAGCAGTGTTGTAAGGCTCCGGCTTGGGTGGTTCCGGTTCCAATCCTGCATCATGGAGAAAGCTGAAGTCCACGCTGCCGGGAGTACCTGCTGTGTGCCGGGGAAGCCCCTCCCTTACCATCTAGGAAATGGAAGTAAATGTCCCTTTGGACCCTTGCAAGCAAAGCACCCAACATGTGTCTTTGGTCCCTAAGGTGGACCTTGGGTGCAACAGGCAGTGTTGGGGTGCGGGGGGCTCCCTCGTCATCAGCTGCTCTCCCCCAACAGCCACGGAAGGATCTAGCAACATGGCGGTGATTGGCGGTGTGGCCGTCGGCCTGCTCCTGCTGCTGGCGCTGGCGGGAGTTGGTATCTTCATCCATCGCAGGTTCGTGGGCACCCGGGCTCCCTGAGCTTTAGGTGGGATGCAGAGGCCCAGGAATCTCAGTTTCCTGCCTGAAAAATGGAGCTCTAGGAATCTAATCCCTGTCCCTTCCTCCGCCCGGGGGTTGCAAAGATGCACTAAGCTGTAAAGTCCTGAGCAGCCTGGGGGGGTCGGACATGGCGGTCATTATCTTCGCTCTGGTTGTTAGTGGTGTCCGCACTTCCTCTGGCCGTGCAGGCAGGAAGCGCTGGGAGCCATAATGAGGAAAGCTCTCGTTACAGTCACTTCAGAGGCCACTATGGGGTGCAGGTGCTGAGGGGGGAGCCGTGCTTGCTAATTTCCTTTCTGCCTCTCCCCTGGCCTTCCCTGCATGCACCCTCTGCCTGACGCAGCAGAGCACTGAGCTTGCCAGACACCACTTAGGACCAGAGTAGGTGAGGAGGTCCTGGCCAAGAGGCGCTGACCTCCCTGTGGGCTTGGTCTCCTTGGGGTTCTTTCAGGAGGAGGAGCCTCCGCGCCCGCCAGTCCTCAGAGGATGTTTACTTCTCCAAGTCAGGTGAGATGCAGCCCCCCTCCATGTCCAGCCCCCTCCCCCCTCCCCATGAGCCTCATGTGGCAGCCGTGGGGATAGCTGGGGCACCCTAGGGCTCTGGGGGTGGAACCCACAGCTTCCTCAGGCAGCTCTAAGGGGCTGACCACTACCTGGCCTAAGTTCCCTGAGGTCCCCGGTCATGACACCACCGGGGCACCCCCGGGACACCCTCCCTCAGCTGTGGGTGACCCTCCTCTCCCTCCCCTTCCAGAACAACTGAAGCCCCTGAAGACTTATGTGGACCCACACACGTATGAGGATCCCAACCAGGCTGTGCTCAAGTTCACCACCGAGATCCACCCATCCTGCGTCACGCGGCAGAAAGTGATCGGAGCAGGTGAGGTTGGCATCTGTGCCGAGGGGCGGGGACAAGGTGGGAGCACATGCACCCGGCTGACTGGGGCGTTCCCCTCCATTGCTGCTGCAGGAGAGTTTGGGGAGGTGTACAAGGGGACACTGAAGGCGTCGGGGAAGAAGGAGGTACCCGTGGCCATCAAGACGCTGAAAGCTGGCTACACAGAGAAGCAGCGGGTGGACTTCCTGAGCGAGGCCAGCATCATGGGCCAGTTCAGCCACCATAACATCATCCGCCTGGAGGGCGTCGTCTCCAAATGTGAGGCTTGGCCAGAGGTGGGGGAGAGCCTCAGGGGCCTGATCTACATGGGAGAGGGGTTGCCCACCGGGGTCCCCAAACAGGGTCTCTACCCGTAGCTGCACCCACCTGTCCCCCTCATACACCTGTGCTACCTCCTCCAACTCTGGCTGACCCCTCACCCCTGTGCCCGCCCCCTGCAGACAAGCCCATGATGATCATCACCGAGTACATGGAGAACGGGGCCCTGGACAAGTTCCTTCGGGTAAGGCTGTGGGCTGGGCTTGGGGGTGCCCCGGTGGGCCCGCGGCCGGCTGGTGGCTGAGGGCTGTGCTCCAGCAGGAGAATGATGGCGAGTTCAGCGTCCTGCAGCTGGTGGGCATGCTGCGGGGCATCGCGGCTGGCATGAAGTACCTGGCCAACATGAACTACGTCCACCGTGACCTGGCCGCCCGCAACATCCTGGTCAACAGCAACCTGGTCTGCAAGGTGTCTGACTTCGGCCTGTCCCGAGTGCTGGAGGACGACCCCGAGGCCACCTACACCACCAGCGTGAGTGCCTGGGGGGCTGTCGTCACGGGGCTGAAGGGCCAGAGGGTGAAGCAGCCTTCACCCGGCTCCAGGGTCTTCTTACCTGTGCACCTGAAGTGTGGACCTCAGGAGCACCCGTAGGGAACAGGATGGGACCTGCCTGGCTGTCCTGGGGCAGCCAGAGTGGTAACTGGGCCTGGGTCCCCTGCAGGGTGGCAAGATCCCCATCCGCTGGACGGCCCCAGAGGCCATTTCCTACCGCAAGTTCACCTCAGCCAGTGATGTGTGGAGCTATGGCATCGTCATGTGGGAGGTGATGACATATGGTGAGCGGCCCTACTGGGAGCTGTCGAACCACGAGGTAGGTCTCCTCCTTCCCCTTCCCATCTGGACTTGAACTCAAACCCTTTCCTCATTCCCAAACCCCAGGGGTAGAGAAGTGTTGGGGGGACCAATCTTCATTAAGTACAGCCATGCATTGGTTCAGCAAAGTCATTCTCTTTTCCAGGAAATGCTTATTGAGGGCCTACTATGTGCCAGGCTTGTCCTGGGTTCTATACCCATTCCCTGCTTATAGTCAGTGGAGGGCAAGGAAACTAGGTGTGTGTGCGTGCATATGCTCACGTGTGCATGTGTAGGGATGCATTTTCATGTGTGCACATGTGTGTGCTCACGTGCCTGGTGCCTCACAAGCCTGAGACCTGGAAGGCTTCCCTGAGGAGGTCACATCTTAGCTGAGGCACAGTAAGGTAGCCAGGTGAGGACAGGAAGGGAAAAGTGCTCCAGCCCAAAGGGGCAGCAGACAAAGACACCCCCAGGCCAGAGGAGACTGCCTACAGGGCACACTGCATGGCTCTTGCCTGGGGTGCCCTGCGGGGGAGCCGGGTCCCCTTTCCCTGGAACTCTGGAGGCAACCCTTTAGCACTCACTCCTTGTGCAGCTCTGAATGTTGGGCTCATCTGTTTCTGAGGTACCTCTTCCCTCCACTGCCCTCCTCTGCATAGTGGGGCTCCCCAAGGAGCCTGCCCAGGTCGGGGTGGTAAAGACTGCTCCAGACCTCCATGGCTGCTGCCTGGCACCCCTGACCATCCTGCCCCGCCAGGTGATGAAAGCCATAAACGACGGCTTCCGGCTCCCCACGCCCATGGACTGCCCCTCGGCCATCTACCAGCTCATGATGCAGTGCTGGCAGCAGGAGCGGGCCCGCCGCCCCAAGTTTGCCGACATCGTCAGCATCCTGGACAAGCTCATCCGGGCTCCCGACTCCCTCAAGACCCTGGCTGACTTTGACCCTCGGTGAGTTCTACACGCCTGTCCCTGGCAGCCCCCACTTTTCCTACTGAGCCACCTCGGCGTGGTGGCCAGCCAGGGGGTCATGGGCCAGGGACTCTGCTTAGCCTGGACTAACCGAAGCACTCGTACACAGGGCAAGTGTGCCAGGCCTGGAGCTCCGCGCTTAACATGTTTTAACTCATTGGAACAACTTCCCAGATGGGTCCTGTAATTATCTCCCCTTTCTGTAAATGAGGAAACTGAGACACAGGGCAATTAAGTATCTTACGTGCTGGCATTTGGCCAGACCGGGACTGTGGCTCCAGGGACCTGAATCTCAAGATTTTGTTATTTTGTGGTTGTTTTGTTTTGTTTTGTTTTGAAGATTTTTATTTATTTAAAAAAAAAAAGATTTTTATTTATGCATACAGAACTGGGGTACAGGCCAGAGGTGCAGGGGGTGAGAGAGTTCACCAGAGACAGAGTGGGGAACAGAACAGATGGATCTACTGAAACACACTGCTGAGGGGAGCAGTGGGTGAGACAGGAGAGGTCTGCTGAGCCATGTGGGTTGCTCCCTGGCTGGGGATCGAACTCGTGCTGCAGAGGCTGTGGATAGCATCATAGTGCTGTGCTTAACCCCTTGCACCACCAGGGAAGCCCTATTTTGTGGTTTTGGTGTGATGTTGTCAGTGGGAGCCGAGGGGGGCAGCACAAGTGTCCCACATGTGCCAGCTCTCTCCCTGACATGGCTTCCCCCTTGCCTGGATGAGGAAACTGAGGCACAGGGCTGCTGGGTGCCTTGCCAGGTTGGGCGGCACCTGGCCGGGAGCCATGGGAGACGGGGTGCTGCTGCACCTCACCTCGGGTGCTGGTTCCTGTTGCAGGGTGTCCATCCGGCTGCCCAGCACCAGCGGCTCAGAGGGGGTGCCCTTCCGCACGGTGTCCGAGTGGCTCGAGTCCATCAAGATGCAGCAGTACACGGAGCACTTCCTGGCCGCCGGCTACACCGCCGTGGAGAAGGTGGTGCAGATGACCAATGAGTGAGTGCTTCCGCCGCGCCCGTGCCGCCTCGGGGCCCTCTGCCCCCCACCCATCCGCTCCTCTCTCCACCCGCCAGCACCCCCTCCTTTCTCTTTCTCGCTCCTCTTTTGGGGAGTCTTCGCAGGAAGGGCAGAACCAGGCCGGCAGCCAGCAATTCTGCGCACCCGCTCTTGGCTCCGTCCTCTTCCTGCGTCTTTTTTCCAGAGTGGGAAAATAATAGCAATTGTAATAATAACAGTGGCCCTTATCAACCCTTATCAAGGCTGGACTCTGTGCCCGCTCTGGCTGGAGGCCGCAGGATAACAGCAGGTGGGCCTGTCGATATTCCTACCAGACGGACAGGTAGGAAATAGGAAATAGTGCAGAGAAGGGCACGGACTTGCCCAGGGTCCCGTGGCCATTAGGGGCAGAGGCGGAGTCCAGCCCTGGCCAGTGAGGGTCCAGAGCTCGGACTGTAGAGGCGGAGAAACTGAGGCTCAGAGAGGTTTCTTTGGGACGCACAGCTCATAGCTGGGAATCTGGGCAAGAAAAAGCTTCCCCTTACAGCCATCTCCTGACTCCACACCTAATAAGATTACTAAGATGCTATTATTTCATCCCCACTGAACAAAGGGGGGTTCAGAGGCTGAGAGGTCGCACACCTTGCCTGAGGTCATTCCGCCCCTTAAGGCTCATCTTCCTTTCCAGGATGGAGAAGAAATGAGCAGAGCCTTTGGGCCTGAGCAAGGGCTGTGCATGGGCTCAGAGACCCTCCCGGGGACCTCCTCGTGGCTGACCTTCAGCCCGGCCCTCAGGCCTGGAGAGAAGTGCGGGTTACACTGTCCCCGGGGAGGGGCCCTTTGTCAGGCTGCCCCGAGAGAGCTGTCCTCTCCTCCCCAGCACCAGGGACCTTTCCCGGCATGGCCTTGAAAACATTGTCCTCTTAGCCTTTTGTGCCTCTAAAAATAGCTTTAGGTCCTGATGTCCCAGCATGTCCAGGGTCCAAGGTCACGGCAGGCATGGGCCCTTAGGGCTGGGAGATTTTGGGAATCCCATAGAAGAGACGATCCAGTCTCCCACGGTTCTGGGTCCCGGAAGTGCTGGGATTTGGGTTTGTGTATGAACATTCTGGAAAATGCTCAGCTGGGCTTTTGACCTGCTGGTTCGACCTCCCAGAACCAGACCATGAGCTGTCGCAGGGACAAGCGGGGACAAGTGGGAGTCAGGCAGGGACAGAGCTGACCTGAGGGCGAGGCATGCAGAGGAGACGGGTCCCGTGAGATGGAGTCCCAGTATCGGGGTCTGCTGTCAGCTCTGTGTCCAAGTTCCAGGTCTGTACTCTAACAGGGGGCCCCTGGCCAAATTAGGCTTCATCTTTGCGCCTTGGATTGCAGGTGGCACACCTCACACACAGCAGGGACTGAGGTCAGGCCCCTCCTCTCCCACCGTCCCTTCCTTTCCACCCGCAGCCCGTGCACAAAGGCCAGGGTTCCTGGGTTCCTTCCCTTTCCCTGGGAACCTGGAACACCCCTCTTTGCACCTTCGGGGGCTCCCACCCAGGACAGTGCAGCTTCTCGTTAGGGCGACCCGAGGTGGGGGCCGAGAAGTGCTTACAGGAAACACATGTTCTTGGAAGTGTCCCGAAATAGCCCGGGGTGCTCCTCGGCCAATTCCTTTCCCACGAGCAGGGACAGGACGGTCTTGGATGGATGGATGTGAGTGTGTGTGTGTGTTGTGTTTTGAAACGGCCTAGATAAAGGCAGGAAGTCATTCCACACTCCCTCCTCCTCCACCAGCCCGGGGGTGCGCCTGGGCCACACACCAGGGCTCCAGCTCCTCTCACTGACTCTTCAAATAAATGTAGTAAGTGGGAATCTCAATGCAGTTTATCAACCTGAAGGCCGAGTCTGAGTGCGCCCTGGGCCCCAGCAGGAGGTGCTGAGAATTCAGCCCTTTTTTGCTGCAATGGGGACTTCGGCTCTACCATCCTGCCCCACCCCCTTGGCCTCCCTGCTTCCTGAACCTTCCTGGACCCCAGGGGCCGGCTGCTCGCTCACTCCCGTGATCCACAGAGCCATCCTTTCTCAACCTGAACATTCCCCGCTGTGTTATTTTGGAGTCGCCTGACCTTCTAGCTGGACTAGTGGTTCTCGATGTTTTTTGAGAGGTTGATTTAAGTCATGGATGTCTCACCCCAGAAAAATGCCCAGTCCAGCCAAAGGCCCTTCCAGGGTCGGAGGCTTTTGCAGAGGGCATGCTGTGAGGGGTGTGGGGGCAGCCTGATGGGACTTGTGATCTCCACAAGGCCTCTGCCCAGGCTTGATGTGAATGGGATGTTTGCTGAGTGAATGCTTGATCAGACACTGAGTCTCCAGGAGCCATTTCACACTCCCCTCTCCTGGCACACAATAGGTGTGCTCCTAGAGGTGTTGCCTTTGAATCTCCCAGGACCAGGGCTCAGAAGAAAGGTGGCCTCAGTCAGGTGTCCCCCATGAAGAGAGAAGGTGGGGGTGATGGCCCTGGGTCCCTGATGGGGAAACTGAGGCTGGGGTAGGCACATGCTTGGTATGGTGTGCCATAGGCCACAGGCATTGGTTGCTCTGTGGTTAGGAAATGAGGCAGGGAGTTTTGGGGACTTTGTGTTGAAAGAGAAAGGGGCTGGGGCAGGTGGCTCAGGAGCACGTCATCAAAGCCTCCCATTTCACATATAAAGAAACTGAGGCCAGAATATAGGCATGGCCAGCCCCACCCAAGGCTTTGATGGAATCCAGGATTAGGATTTGACCTCTTGCCTCCCAGCCCAGGACTTTGGCCTTCCAGACGGGCTTCAAAACCCACCTCAGCTTCCACCCTGTCAGCTTAACCGCGTTGGCTCGGAGAGGACCTCGAGGTGGCCTGGGCAGTGGCTCAGTCTCCACTAAAACATCCGCTCATTCATTCAACAGACACATCCAGAGGACCTTCTGTCCAGGCCTCTCCTGGAACCTGAGAGGGGGAGTGGGAGGGGACAGGTCCCAGACGTTGCCCTCCCAGGGCCACATAACTCGCTGGTTCTTAACCCAGACATCAGGGTCTTCTGACAAAATGCAGACTCCTCACCCCACCTTCAGAAAGTCAAGGCCAAGGATTCTGGAGTTGGGTCCAGGATCCTGCTTTTTTTAGTAAGTTCCTCCTCCCCCGGGGGGTCTGAGTGCTTATCTGAGAGACATGCTGGAGGATCTACAGGGCTGGGGGAAGACACCCCAATGGGCACCGGGGGTAGGCTAGGAAGTTCTCCCAGCTGTCCGACTCCTGGCCTTCCTGCTGCAGGGAGCGGCTGGCTGCCTCCTGGAGGCCCCTGAGCTGCCCTCCCCACGCACCGGGTCTGCCCTGCCCTGCCTAGCCCTCTGTGAGGACTCCGGAGCCTGTGGGAAAGTCATGTCTCCAGAATTGTAACTAGGAGCGCGCACCATATAATTAGCTCCATTTACAGCCAGGAGACGGCCCATAAAAACCTGGGTGTTTTCATGCGTTTGGGCTGGTGGGTGAGGACGGTGGAGGAGAAAACTCCCAGAGTGAGCAATAAACGTCCTGCTCCAGGGCTCCCGGCAGCATAAGTGGTTTTATGAGGGGCTGGAGCTGCACGGAAGGGGCAGGCAGGGAGGGCCGTGGGCGCCACCTCCCCCTTGGCCACCGGCTCCCGGGGTCTCCTGCCCTCCAGATGGGCACTGTTATCCCACTTTACAGGTGAGGAAGTTGAAGTTCCTAAAGGAAAACACCTGCCTCAGGTGACCTGATCAGACCACGTGCGAGCCCCGTGCGAGCCCCTCCCACTAAGCGGAGCTTCAGCCCCCCATGGCCCCTCAGCAAGTGTTTCCTGAGTCTTGCTATTTGCAGTGGAACTTGGAGGGGGTGAGGGTGAAATAAGGCCATACCTGGGGAGACCCTGGGGGCTTTGAGCCACACCAAGGCTTTGACCTTCGTGCTTGGGGGCCTGCGGGTGGCATCTGCACTGCCTGGAAACCAGGCCTCGGCTGGGGACTTCAGGGACAGATTGGGGTGGGGGAGGGGCGTTTGCTCACAGCTGGTCAGAGCCCCAGCTCTTCCACCAACTTGCTGTGTGACTTTGGGCAAATTATCTTACCTCTCTGAGCCTCAGGTTTCTAATCTTCCGAGTGGGGTGTCAAGAGCACCTGCTTCCAGATGGTCGTGCTGATTCCATTCAGTTGGCACGCCTGTGGTGTTCCTGCCTTTGTAGATGGGCCCTCTTGGCAGTTTTAGGATGTGGTCCTCTAGGCTTCTTCCTAAGCGGAACTCTCTCACCCCGAAGGTCCCTGGGGATCCCCCTCATTCTCACGTCTCCCCACCTCCATTTCCCTCCCCCAGCTACCCCTCTCCCTCACTGACCCCTGACTCTCCTATGTCCCTCTCCACCCGCAGAGACATTAAGAGGATTGGGGTGCGGCTGCCCGGCCACCAGAAACGCATCGCCTACAGCCTGCTGGGACTCAAGGACCAGGTGAACACAGTGGGGATCCCCATCTGAGCCCCGACAGGGTCTCGCACCTGCCTCGGCCAAGAATACTTGAAGAAACAATGGGCCACCCCGCTGGCTCCGCGCTGGGCTGCCAGGGACCTTATTTATTTCTAGTTTTCTTATCGATGTCACCCTGAGGCCTCTGCTGGGGGCTCTTGACTGACCCCTAGGCCTGAACTGAGATGCTCAGGGACCCTGGGCTGGGGGGCCCCCTCACCCATCTTGGACAGACAGCCAAGCACTTAGCAGGCGAAGCCATGTTCCCAGCACCCCCCAGGGCAGGAGCCCTGCCACAGCCTCTGGACTTACACGGACATCTCCAAACTGTGCCCCGCTTCACCTTCTTGGGGGAGGAGAGCCTGTGGCCATGTGAACAGGGTACCTCAAGCCCCCCCACTCACCATCAGCAGATACTCAGTCAACTCAGCGGGGGGCTCTTGAACTGACACAAGGCCTGAATGGAGATGCTCAGGGACCCCGGGCTGGGGTCCCCACAGTGGTGCCCTCCAGTGCCTTCCTCCAACCCCAGGCCCTATCCTCAGTCCCGCGGGCCAAACTCTTGCTTCTCCCGGGCCCTCACAGGATGCTTGGTTGTGTTGAGCTTTTAAAAGTATATATATTTTGTATTTTATGGAGAGAATGTGTGTGTGGCAGGGGCCCGGCGAGGGCTGGGACAGAAGACGGCCTGTACAGACATTCCCGGGCTGGGGCCGGTGCTGGCGGGACCCCTGCTGTCCCCAGTCCACCCAGCCCACCCTTTAGATAAGATTCTCTTCTCTGTCAGTGTTAATGACTTTGTTGTTGGGTTAATTTTTTTTTTTTTGGACCTTAATTTATTATTATTTTTTTTATATTTATTGTTAGGCAATGACTTATTTCTGTTCTGGAATAAAGTTTCAGATGGTTCAAAGTGATCTTGGTCTGGAGTCTCTGAGGCATGGTGGGTCGGTCGGAGAGGCCTTGTGTGTCGGAAGTGGGGTGTTTAAACAGCTTCTTGCGCAAGCCACCGCTGTCGTGTAAACCAGGAGCGGGGGTGGGTGGGAGGTGGGCAGAGGGCCAGAGAGCAGGCCCTGCCGAGCCCGGCCTCCATGCCAACGGGCCTCTGTCACCTTTGATCTCCGGGCCTCTGGAGGGCTGGCAGGCAGGACAGGGAGAGGGCCCGTCGCTGTCCTCCCACACGTCTCTCTGGAGCTGTTGAAATAGATGTTTCGACCCTCCGTGGATGGCTCAGAGATTCACCAAAGCTTTCCACAAGTGATGGCTTGTTGGAGCCTCAGTATCCTGAATTTTGTGGGCGGCCCCACTTTACAGGAGAGGAGCACTGAGGCTGGGCACGATGACCAGGTTCGCCCAAGGCCACACAGCAAGTTAGAGGCAGAAGCCAGAATTATAAGCAGGGCTGGGAAGCCCAACTTGATGTTTTTCTCACAGAGAAGGAGACTGAGGTTCAGAGAACGACAGTGACTTGCCCTTGGTCACACAGTAGGAAGTAGCAGAGGCCTCAAGGGAAGCCAGAGTCCAAACTTCAACCCCTAGCCATCACTCAGCGGTTGCTGCCCTACGGTCCAGAGACCGTTCAGTGTGGGGGTTAGGAATTGTGTACAGGCAGCCAGGAACACAACCTTGTAAGCAGAGATGATCTGGGGTACAGAAGGAAGGCTCCCTGGTGGAGGTGACCCCAGAGCTGACACCTTGAGAACAGATAGGAATGTATCAATGAACAGTGGGAGGGGTAGGCACGCAGAGTAAATCCTGAAGACACGCAACCTTGGGTTATACGAAGGAACCACAATCTGTTTGTTGTTATTAGGGCCTGAGGGGTGCTGAGGAGGTCTCCAAGGCCTTGCAAGGCAGGTCCAGGAGTGGGGATTTTAAGTTGAGGGCAGTGGGGAGCCCCTGAAAGTTTAAGGAAGGGTGAGCATGAAGTCACTGGTAGAAGCAGGCCCAGAACTCAGGCCTTCAGGCTCGCAGCCAAGATCTGTGGGGTGGTAGAGGAGACATTCTGGCCACCTGGGGAGGGTGCTCACTTTGGTCACAGGGCTCTGCCCTGACTTCTTGCCGCTGCAGGAGAGCCACATCTATGGGGAGCCAGCTCCTGGTCCCAGCTCACAGGGCATCAGTGAGTGGTGTTGAGTGGGGCGGGGGTTGGGAAAGGCAAGGGAAAGCAGGGATGGCTCACTAGGCCTTTCTCCCATTAGCACTAGGCCACCTGGGTGTGCTGGGCACAGTGGCTGAGTCAGGCCTTCCTCATCTGACCTTTCCTGACCTGCCCCAGGTGGCCACCCAGGCCCTGCGACTGGGCTCAGGTTATTGCCACCACCACTGACACAGTCATAGGTCCAGCGAGGAGCAAGGTTGAAGTCCTGTGGCAAGCTGAGCTGAGAGAGCTCCTGAGGCTAGGCCAGGTCTCACTCCCAGAATGGGTTGGTCACCTGATGGCCCACTGGGGAGCAGCAGTGGACACAGGAAGTGACTCAGCAAGGAGGGAGTGGCCCCAAGGGCTCTCTCCTGTGAGTGGACGCAGGCCCTCTAAGGAGATTGCACAGGCCTGAGGGTTGTGACTCGGCTGTCTGGAGCTTCCGAATGGAACCCACTGTTGGCGTGAGGGGAAACTTTATTTTTAAATGAAAGTGAACCCAGCTCTGCCACCAAGAAGGCTCAGGAGCAGTGACAGCCCACCAGCAATAAGCACATCCAGCCCCCAGATATTGGTTTCTAAATATCATTCTCTAATACTCCACTCAGAGGAACCAGGACTCCTTAGAAAAATGACTGACTCTAGGGCTGAGGCAGAGAAAATCCCAGTTGAGGCTGGAGTACCTTGTCAGGCTAGAGGGTGAAAATAAACAGACAGTCATGTTAAACAGACACCAGAGCCAGCCCAAACGGGATCCCATTGGCAAAATGTAGAGCAGGTTGAGCGACAGAACAAGTAACACATAATCAGATTATAACCCAGAGTATAAAATAAATAAACATGAGTCCATATTGATATCAATATGATTGAAGAGATAAAGAAATTGGGGAGATGAGACAGATCTTCCTTATAGAAGAATTGCTGAAGGGCTCCCCTGCTCCAGTAAGTGGCATTTCATCCCCACCATTTTGAAACTGGACCAGACCTCCAGATACCCTTTCAAAGAAAAGTCTAGAAAGGGTTAAAAAAAAAAAAAAGAAAGAAATTTGACAGGAGAGATACCTGGCAAACTCTATTGTAACCAAGTTAACATCATCAGTGAAAAAACAAACACTCAGAGTTGCAGAAATAGGTTGCTTGGATTTAAGATCAGGTATCAGCAAACACATGAGGTGCTGGTGCCTCCGCTGCTAAGTGCTTGGCCTGTGTTTACTCGTTTCGGTCCAACCCCCCAGGTGGGTGCCCTGGTTATCCTGTTTTACAGATTTGAACACTGAGCCACAGGGAGGTTAAGCAACTTCATGGATGACTAGGGCCGGGGTCCAGAGTCCAAACTCCCTTGGCCCAGAGCCAGTAAGATGGTTTCCACCTGCTGCCCTCAAACGCCAAGATGGGACATTCTTCCCTCTCTGCTGTGAGGGACACCTCACCAGATAAGGTTCCAGGGAAACTGGGGCCCATAACCTGCCCTCAATCCCCAGATGCCACAGTGCTGCCCTCCTTAGCACCTAGACTGGGCCCAGGGAGGGTGCAGCAGGTTTGCTGCCTTACTCCATCCCTCGGGGGACACCCCTGCCCCGTGCCAGGCTGGTCACTGGGACCACAGGCATGGAAACCTGGGACCCATCCTCACGGGGCTCTCAGTGGGGTGGGGGCAGGGGCAATACAGCAGGACCCAGGTTAAGAGGAGGAGGAACCCGGTGCTTCAGGGGCCAGAGGGGCGCCTGGCCCAGCTGGAGTTCAGGCAGGCTTTCTGGAGGAGGAGGGGCCATCCAAGCTGCGATCAAGGTCAAGTGGGAGTCTACCAGGTGAGGGGGAGAAGAGGACCCAGAAGAGCCTCCCCTGCCCCCTGTATTCAGGCCTCTGTGGGTGTGCCAGAGTCCCCCCTGGGACCTGGAACCCCACTGGATAGGACAAGCCCCGCTCCAGCTCCGACACTCCTTGGCCCCTGGCTGTCCAACCATGAGCAACCCTGTGCCAGCCCCGCTCTCAACCCCCCGCAAGAGGAACCCTCTCTTCCATCTTAGTCGTCTCAGCCTGGGAGTGGGCCTGAGCTGCCCTGCTCCCTGGCGCTGAGCTGCAGGGCCTTGGAAGTCCTTTGATGCACCCAAAGCAGCCCTGAAGGAGGCAGAGGCAGCAATTACGGGGGGGCTGGGCTGCTCCCAGTCTGGATAGCAAGTCAAAACAGTATCACCAGGTACTAGCCTTGGATTTCCTAATTAATTAGCAAATCCTAGAGCCACAGGCAAGCCCTGCCCCTCCTCCCCACCCCACCCGCTCACCTCCAGCTGTGGCCCAGGGCCTAGGACATGGCCTGGCACCCAAGATGCTGCTAGAACAGGGGTTGAAGGAACGTGTCTGTGAAGTCCTTGCTCTCAGCTGGGTCCTCGTGCCTTCACCCAGACTGTATTGGCTTCATCGCCCCCTTCCCGGAATAGTACCTGGCACCACCCAGTAGGTCCTCAATAAATGTTTGCTCAATAACAAATGAAAGGGAGAGGGGCCAGGCTCAGGGGAACGTGAGGGAGGCCTCATATGGAGCCAGGTTGTTCAGCACCCCAAGGCATGGGTGGTGCCTCAGTGACGACTCCCCACCCTCTCTGGCTGACCAGGGCCACACAGGCCAGAAAGGAGAAGGGAGGGAGTGTTCTTGAGCCCCTGCTTTGTGCCAGTCAGCGTGCCAAGCCCGAGACCACCTGTTCTATTGAGGGATCGCAGTCACCAGGCAATGTGTAGATTCACCTCCATTTTAGAGATGGGGACACTGAGACTCAATTGGGTTATGATAATCAGACCAAGACCCCACAGCCAGGAAGCAACAGAGCAAAACACGAGACAAGGACCATCTCCTCCCACCATCTGCTGCTGGGGACTCCAGGAAGCCCGTTGGTAGGAAGAGAAGGACTGGGGCTCCACTGGGCACCCCCACGGGCTTTGCTGTGGGCCCCTGACCTGGCCGTGGTGTCCCCGGGTCTCAGTGTGCCCAGTGACATGGAGAGACGGAGGACGCCCGTCCCGGCTGGGATAGAGGCTCCTGCCCGTGGAGACTTGCCCACACCCCACTCCTGGCCCTCTGTCCTCCGGGCAGCAGGCATCTGTCCAGCCCCTGGGACTGCCTCTCCAATCCAAACCTTGCCAGCCTTTCTGCTGACAGAACAGACCCGGGTTCTGGGAAGCTGTGGCTGCATCCCCCCTGCCGGGGGTGGGGGCCCCTTGGCTCCCTCTGGGCCTCAGCCCCATTTCAGCAGCCTCATCACATTCCCCAGCGGCCTCGGCAGCCTGGTGGACGGATGCAGTCTCCGCATTGGTCTGGCAGAGCCAGGCAGCTGCGTGGCCGGGTCCTCTCTGGGCACAAGGGCCTTTCCCCCAGGGCCAGGCAGATCAGTCCCAGCATCTGGGCTCAGGCAGCTGCACACACATCGGCCATGCCTGCTTCCCCCAAACTCTACACCCTCTCAGATGCCCCAAACCTGGTCTCAATTCTCTATCTGAGCCATCCCCTCCCCAAACCCGTCCCCCTTATTTCTGCCTGTGCTGAGTGTGCTTACCCAGCCAGACCCACCTCAAATTCCCCATCCTGCAAGAGATCTCAGAAGCACCCCTGCACCCTAATTGGGAGACCCATCCCCACTCTGCTAAGTCTCCACTTCTGTGTGTGGATGGCAGTGGGGATCACTGTGTCCCAACCCCCGGGTCCCTCGGAACCCACAGTTCCATCCTTCTTATTACTTTCTTCCAGAATGCCAGGAGCTGCAACTAGTCCCTGCC